TATATATAAACATCTCAATACCTGACATTATCAGTTAATGCCAAACGATACTGTAATGCATCAGACTATTTATTGGCTACATGTCTAATGTCTAGTAACAAATTGTGGTACTTAAAATTTAATTAAGGATGTAGCTGATAAATAGCCTGATACATTATGGTATCATTTGGCATTAACAAGTGTATCTTTGAATTTTTATATCAATAGGAATCTTATCAATGCTGGGCACATGAGGTGTTTGGAATGTTTATAATCTGTTTCTAGTTATATCAATATTTAGAAAAATAATAATATAAATGATAAGAATTGTAACCTATCCAGTGATTCACCAGAACTCATTGCCTATATTCATAATTTAATTTGTGAATATATGAGGGTTCATTGGAAAAGCAAAGACCAGTACTAAACATTGAAAAGATGAATATTTATTATGTTGAAATTATGTCTGTATGCTCAATATTGTACTTACAGCTAGTGGACAGGCTTCTGTCCTGGGTCTGCATCTCACAGATGTGTAGTAACAGCTGCTGAAAACGGTAACATGATCTTGAAAGTTTGTGGTATTGTTATACTTTTTTCACCAAATTCCCATCTGTGACAAAAATTCATCAACAATGTAAGAAAGAGACCCATATATCTTTCTAAAGGTATAGCGGTTTTACATGACAATGCATGGTCTGGTGCAGTCACACAGACAAAGAACTTGCTACTGAAATTTTGACAACAGTATGAGGATCATCCACCATACTGTCCAGATTTGGCTCCAAGATATTTTCACATATTTGGACTTTGAAAAAAAAAGGCATTGATGTAGCAGCCAATTTAGGTGTTATGGAAGTGCAGGAAGCTACAAGAAAATGGTGCAAAGCCTGCATTATTTGCTTATGGCATACAAAAATTGCTTTCATGTACTGGCAAGTGCTTGAATTATCTGGGAGACTACATTTTGTGTGCTTGTTTGAATGAACTGTATGCAACTAAACTAAAGTGTAATTAATCTTTGTAATTTAAATCCCTGATATGACTACAGATTTTTAATTTCACTACACCCCTGATTTCTATTATGAATAGTGTATTTTGTTGCAATAAGTAGTCTGCAAATTATAAATATAAAAATAATTTAAGGCTATTTCCTATCAACATAGCTGCAAAAAACTCTGAAAGTTTATGCAATACTATAACTAGATTGTTAATATACCTGCAGCAAGTCTACCATGTAAAGTACATATCTCATAAAGTAACAGTAAACAAATTTTATTTACTTTTGTTAATATATTATTTTCTATCTTTTTATGTCTGCAAAATTGTCAATAATACTGTGGTTTCTTTAAAAGGAAAAGAAAATCACAGTTTATTATATATATATATTAAATCATTCATTTTACATTTAGGCTAATCTAATTTCTTTTCTTTATTTCTTTTTTTCCTTAAAATTCACTTCTTTTCCTTTTTAATCCATTCTGGGATTTAGTGCCACCCCTAACATGAATGGTCATTATTAGTCAATAGAATATATAAAGGGGAGGGAAGATTTAAAAAGGAAAAAGAACGAGAAATGGAAAGTTATTTTTCTTGTGTTTGTCAAGTGTTTATCAATGTGTTCCCCTTAAGATGTTTAAACATCTTAAGGGGAATGCATGTGCGTATGGTATCCAAAAGCTATTACCATTAGATTTATATTTGAATGTTAACTGCCAGCTTGTTTTGAATAAAAAAGAAGCCTGAGGAAGAGTCCAGAAGAGACTATGAAAATGTTCACAAGTTTTAATCATAGACACACCAGTCAACTAGTTAATGTGAGTCGCACTGTTTATATTTATCCCGGTGTGTTGTGCAGTTAAGTATTAAGGTAGAAAGTATATCTTTTATATATTTGCAGGGACAACAAAGCTGTATTATTATTATAAATGACTGCATTTTGACATCCAAACCTTTGTTTCCTTTTTTATATTGTGAAATGAAACTTTAATGATTATTTATTTTTCTTAATCAAATTCATTAATGCTTGTCTTGCACAACTTAAAACCAACAATATCATTAAAATTTTTGTCTTTGAAAAATTTTCTATTTTATTTGTTTAATGTCATTACATTTGGGAAAGAGTTCCATTTATACATCACTCGTTATACTATTTCACAAGTATACAATTTCAACAATGACCATATTAAATTATATTTTTAACATTTAAATACTTACCTTAAAACATAATTTACACATATGATACTCTGTTCTTCAGAACTTTTGTTGTTACATATAATCGTAGCACAAGTCTGTATCCACGTATAACCTCCAGTTTTATTCATCACACGATAATATTCACTCATCACTTGACCTTTATGTATTACTAAAATTTTAAAATATAATTAGTTAAATATACTTTTCCTATGAATATATATAAGTTTTATTATGAATATATTAAAATTTATTGTTACTGATTTTAATTTAAGACAGAATTGAGCTATACATAAATAGCAAAATATAAAGATAAATTTGATAATTTGAATAAAATGAGGAAAAAATGATAACATTTTCTAATTTTTTTTCTAAAAATAAATTTAAATAACTCACGCCAATATTTGTCTAGCTTCTGAGTATAAATTCACTGAGTACAAACAAACGTCGAAACGTCGAAAGTACTTGTGTGAATACTAAATGAAGTTTATTAACGCCGTACTCAGTGAATTTATACTCAGAAGCTAAATTTTTTTTCTTTCTTTTTGCATAATAATTGTCTATTACATCTCATTATTTGTATCTTATAATAGCAATGTAAATAAATATTAATTGTATTTGTATTAGATACTCATCATTTGAATACTTACAGTCAATATGGCACTGCCTTAATTTCTGGACATCTTGGCCATGACAGAGTAAATACATATTTTTCCCAGTCATTTCTTCGGCCGTATAGTCTAATAATTCTGACACTCTATTATAATAAATAGAATTTAAAATTATAAGCTTTTTTCTTTAAAAGCAATTTTATCATAGATTGTCTTAACTCTTTTTGCCCTATGGGTGGGGTGGCAAGGAATGGAGTCTGATATATCTGGACAAACCACACCCAGAATCATTTCTGGGATTTTTTTAACCCATCTAGATTCATTCTGCAAGAGCAGCTATGAACTGTTACCTTAACGATTTGGCCATCCAGCTATCTTTACCTCAGGTTTTAAATTTTGTTTATTTTATAATTATTTAAAATTTTGACTTATATCATAAACTATTAATGAAAAATGTTGTTTTTATATTTTTTCTTAGAAAGTGAAAGAAAAAAATATATTAAAAATTGTAAAAATGTATTTTAATTTTTTGTCACAACTCCTTTGAAGCTGGAACTGTCACAGAATTACACAACACCCTTTGCACTCTTTCCAGCAAGAAAATATTTTTATTCAAGTAAGCATTTTAGGCCTGATTTGGGGGCCCAATTTGGGTTTCACATTACAAATTAAATATTTGCCAAGATTCTAAATTGGAACTTCGTCCAAATTCTTTCTTTTGACATCAAATCATTTGAATAATTATAAGGTTTATCAGAAAATGCATTTATTTAAGTATAAATATTATTGTATATAATAAAAGATATAGATATTATACACGTGTTTATTGTATATTTAAATAAGTACATTTTCTGATAAAATTTGTAGTTATTCAAATGTTGTAACATCAAAAGAAGAAAATTGTATAAAGTTTCAATTTAAAATTTCAGTAAATGTTCAACTTTTAACAGTTGAAGCCTGAGGAAGACCCTGAATGTGGCCAAAAATGTTCATTTGAATGAATATCCAGATGAATATGAAGAGTATTGTGTAATTCTTTTGAGTTTTTCTCAATGCTGAGCAATGTTAGACTATAACATCAAATACACCTTTACTTTAGAAATCAAAATTTATTGAAGACATTCAGAAATTCCATTTATATTGGTATCAAAAATTATTATTAAACAAAGACAAATAATAATAATAATANATAAGAGTAAGAAGAAAGAGCTACTTAAGGAAAACAATGGCAAAAAAATCTTTGAGAAATGTTTTTTGGTATTATTTTTCATTTTGGTAAAACACTTAAATTTAATAAAAAACTGATAACTGATTTTTATACAGTAAATAAAATAAATAAATAAATTAATTAATTAATCAAAAAGCAAATAAATTTATTTTTTAATAATTAATTAATAAATGCTTTTGGTACTGATAAGTGAATATTTTTAAATTACAAATAAAATCAGCATCATAAATTTTGAAGATAAGTTTTAAAAAAAAAATGCAAATATTCTTTTCTTCATATAAATATTGATATATACTTTTCTTTTAAATAAAATTATATATTAATTTTTTCATGTTTTCCTTCAGCATTTTCAACATTAAAAATATCTGATTACTTATGTTTTTTGTAATTAATTAAGTTAAATATATTAATTTTTATAAATCATATTCATAAACATACTTTAAGAGTTTGGAGGCATGCCATATTATATGTCCAAAATAAACAAATAGAAACATACCTGGGTTCGCAGTGCACTATCCTGAAGTCGAAAGTTAATCTCGTGACAAACATGTCGCTTTCTAGGCGAACTTCATTCATGGAAGGTGGCGGAAGAGCGATCGCCAAAGCCACCATTCCTATTATCACCGGTGGATTTTTTCTATTGTGAGAAAACGAATACTGCGGCCGAAGATGAGTAAGGAGGAGAACAACCTGAAATAAAATTTTTTAACACTCAAGTTAACTGCATTTAATTAAATCAGATTCATTGATTATTAAAAATATTCAAATGTTTTATTAAAAGTTCTTTTAAATTGGTCATTTCCTAGTAAAAATATCAATCTTTCATTATGAAGTGATTCTTTTTGGTAATACATTTTTAAAATTTAAAAAATAAGGATAAATATTTTAAGTATGTTTTCACCTTTTAATTGATATTTAAGAAGACTTTCCTTTTTCAAATATAAAAAAGGAAAAAGTACAAAATGTTTTTGATGAAAATGATCCAATATCTTGCATTCTATAAATGGTAATGGCATAATTTAATTATAAAATATCAAGGTACAGTACAATAATTACAAACCAAGAATGAAAACCAAAATTTTTAAATAAAAAAAATACATTTTTTAAAAAAACGTATTTTTTTTAAAAAATGTAAAAAAGTAAAAAATACATTTTTCTCTTTAGAATATTTATACCTTTCATTCCTTAATTTTTCTAATATTATAAGATAAACCCTCTCTGGTCATAGACAGTTGAAAGTGGAATTTTTCACTTTTGACTGTCTATGATTGAAGATGGCTTGTTAACTAGATCAAAATGTTAGCATTCTTTAAACTTTGTCCACTGTTAAAGATGCATTGATTAATTTTGCTGAATAACTTCTTTTGTTATAAAAACAGGCTTAGTATCTAAATGCTTAATTAGTACTCTAATTCCCAAACTATACTCACATACAAAATAACTAAAAGTATTATTTTTGATAACACACATTGTTAATAGATACGCAGTGGCGTAGCATGGGTGTCAGCCACCCGGGGCAAAGGAAAATTTTGCTGTCCCCTTATTTAGGTATCTGAATTTAGAAGACTAAAATTCAGTTTCGTCACAGAATAAGTAATGAAAAATTCCGTGCTAGTGTTGCCACCTTTTTAAAATCGCTGACCCAGACAACAGGTGAGGTTTGTTCGAACAGAAGTTCCTGACACTTGTGCATGTCATTTTGCAATGCGAAGAATAATGTGCAGTGCATGACGGTTCTAAATCAGTTACAGTTAGCAACTAGGGAGACTTGCGTAGGAGTAACATAAGTAACCTAGACGACGTAGCTCTATTGGATATTGGAGATGTATATGAACACAAATAAATCGTACAAGCAAAAGAAAAAAAAAAAAAAGGGGGGTCGACAGGTTGCGCACAATATCCCCAGGTAAAATTAATAGTTCACCCGGACGCTATTCTGTGCTCATTTCAATCGGTCTGAATCATAGATGTGACGAAATTATGAAATGAAATGGTTGAAATTTTTACAAGATATTATTATTTATTGTGAAATTTTGCCACCCCCTAAAAAGTGCCACCCCCACTATGCTACACCGCTGAATAGATGCCAATTACCATACCATACCATACCATACCATAACGAATGATATAACTTAATAGTGGTTAGCAACTGCTAATCATTTGTAACAAATGCAGTCTTTACAAATGTTTTTTAGTTTGCTTATTTTTCCATTTTGCAGTTGCTAAAAAAGTCTTTTTTTCCATATTCGTGGATTTGTCCAAGCACAACGGAGATGGCCAAGTGGCAAGAGATGGGGATCAATATATTCAGGCTGACTTGCCATGAAAATTTCTTTGCAAGTACTTCCATAATAAAAAAAAATCAAGTAATGTTTCAAATTTAAATGTTAAAAGTTCTCACTCCATTTTTCTACCATAAATACCAAAAGACAGTAATTTTAATGTTATCCGAAGTACTTATGAATAATATTTATTGAATTACATTTCTTCTCTTTGAAACAAATATATTTTTAGTTCAGATTTTAATTCATTGATTTATATGATATAATTCATAATACAGTATAATGCTTTAGATATGCTTCAATTTTTTTTTATAGATTTCTATTTAAATTATTAACTAAATAAAATGTCTCTGTAGTTTCATCAGTAAGCAGACAGATGTTAATACAATTAATCATAAAATGTATGTTAAGTGATTGTCTGTAAAT